GCTCAAGTGGTAGAGCCCTAGCCTTGAGCTGAAGAGCTGAGGGACAGTGCCCAGGCCCAGAGTTCAGGCCCCACGACTGGACCCAAAAAAAAAAAAGAAAGAGATAACCCAGTTGATGGCTTATTTTGGAGGATCTTCCTCAGTGATTGATTGACTCAATAATTTTTGCCAGTTGGGTGGCAGTAACAGTAGTGATGCCATCATACATATATTATCACATATATCGTACATCATATTAACATATTCTCTGTACCTGAAAAAGTAGACAGTGATTTGAGAAGGCTGTAATGAAAAACATTAATTTTATCTTGTAATGCTCCATTCCTGAGTACCAGACACTCTTTTATTTCTAGTGTCAGTCCCAAAGGATGTGGATCATCGTTATCCCTACTTTATATCTGAGTTAAATGAAACAAGAAGAGGTTATGTAACTTGCCCAACAAGCCACCCAGCTAATTTATAATAAAAATGAGCCCCAATGGTCTTTCTCTAGAACTGGTCTTGTGGCCTGAGTCCTATGCTGTCTGCAACCAAGAGACTCATCTGTCCTTCAGATGTCTAAATCCCTGCCCCGTGGGCACATCCCTAGCACTACCAGCGGTGTGTTACCCCAGACATTTATGTTCTTTATATGTACATTTGTGTTTATATTTTTCTGCCTCTTTGTTTCCCTTCATGTTCCATTTTTATTATGGAAACAGTGCTTTTTATAGAACTAATAATATGCTATGTTTGGAGCAACCCAAACTTTATCTGGTGAATGTGCCTAATGTAACAGATTCTACTGGGTGTTTTGTTTGTTTTTTTTTGAGACAGAGTCTCACTATGTAACCTATGCTGGCCTTGAAGTTGCTGTGTAGCCCAGGCTGGCCTCTGACTCAGTATCCTCCTCCTCAGCATCCTGAGTACTGGGACTCTGGGTGTGTAGCACTACATCTGGTTGATTACCATCCTTCATAACTTAGAATTTGGGAGAAAAAGGAGAGATGATGTATAGTAATTTCTCCAAAGTAAGCTCATGATTTTTCTGAAAGTTGATCCAATCACGTAGGTTTTTTTTTTTTAAGTTTTGGCCTTAACTTTTTGTTTTAAATAAATAATGCGAATATTTTTAACATGAACATTCACTTTTTTTAATATGGAGTAATTCCAATACATTACGAGTCACATCATTTCTCTTATGAATTTGTAGTCCAAGGTGACTAAACATGCGTGTGTGTATAAAAAATGAAAACTATTTTTAAAATTCTGTAGAAACACTAAATGTGAAATACTAAAACCCTTCTTGTCCCAATCATTTCGCACAAAGGATATTCACAGTTCTCCCCCCTCTACCTCCTTCAGAACTGGGGCTACAGTACACCTCTTTTGGATTTTCTCTTCTTTTCCTTCTCCTTCTCCTTCCTTCTTTTCCTTCTCCTTTGTCTTCGTTTTTGTCTTCTTTTTTGCAGTATTAGAGTTTGTGCTCAAGGCTTCACACTTGCTAGGCAGGTGCTGTACCAATCGAGCCACTCCGCCAGCCCTCTTTTGTTCGGGATATTTTTGTGATAAGGTCTTGCTTTGTGTCAGCGCTGGCTTAGACTGATCCTCCTATTTGTGCTTCCTTTTGTCACTGAGTTGCCAGGCATGTGCCATGTGCTGAGCTATTGTGTTTTCTTCACAGCTTGGAGTGACAGGAGCATACCATGGTGCCCAGCTATTGGTTGAGATGGAGTCTTAGGAGTTTTTTATGTCATGGTTGGCCTTGAGCCCTGACACCCCCCCCCACCTACAGAGCTAGGATTATAGTCTTGAGCCACATTGCCTGGCTGCCCTCCCTGGCTAGGTTTTTAGGTATAGATCTGACTAACTTTTTTCTCTGACTTACCTCAAGTCATTAGTGGCCTTGAACTGTGACCCTCCCATCTCTGCCTCTTTTGTAGAGGTAGTATAGGCATACACTACCATGCTCAGTTCTATATCACTCTGTCAGACAATTTCCTGGGTTGAATTCTGCTGGTCATATACCCAGCACACTGATTCTGTGATGTAGTCACTGACAAGACAGATGGAAAAGCTTGTAGTGTTGATTAGATGGCAGAGGGAAAGGTAAATTAATATTGACTAAATGAGGATATCCATTGCTAAGGAGCCTTACCCGCCGCCTACAAATTGTAATACCAATGGCACTTACTAAAGTATCACTAGTAGATGAGGCCACTGGTGGTCTCACTCACTAGATAGAAAGTGACCAACAGAACTCTATTAGATAGAGTGCAGTGGGATCCAGGTCATTTACTCGAGTGAGTTAAAATCTTGTCACAGCTCCTAAAATGACTGAGCCATCCATTACTCATTGGTGGTGCTCATGGAAAGCAGAAAGGCTATGGTTGCTATTATTTCATTCCAGGTTCCCCAGCAGTAATGAGTCAAATGAGTTCTGCTCCAGAGAGAAGCAGGTATGCAACAAGAAGTGTCCAGTGTGTTTACTCAGAGCTCTTATTCCTTCCTGTCTTCACAGTGTGTGTTATGAGCGAGTTCCGTGGTACCCTACGGTGCTAACCTTCGTCCTGTCTGCCTTGTGGCATGGTGTCTATCCTGGATACTATTTTACCTTCTTAACTGGAGTCCCTGTTACATTAGCAGCTAGAGTGGTAAGCTTCCTTGAGCAATTATATGTTTGTTGTTTTAGGTCCTAGCAAGAATTGGGCATGGGAATGGCAGTGAGGATATTTTGAAAACTCAAACATTATGAAAAAGTCTTCATTACAGAAAAAGGCTTCAGTATATAGGAACTGGTTTTAACAAAAATAGTTAACATTGTTTCCATAATTTTTCCAGTATTCTAGGAGCAATATTTGCTACCTTAAGGGATGAACTTTTTATTATTAAATAATGCACATATACAGAGTCTACTAATTACAGATGATGGTGCTTATCAATTAATATAGGTTCTATAGGACTTCAGTTTGCTTATAGCATGCTTGGTTTCTCATTTCATTATCCTAAGCCTAGAAATAATTCACAGTAGCTCTGAACAATGGGATAAGAACCATAGGAACTCTGGCTTTAGAGATGAGTCTGACCACTGTGTTCTTCTGTGATCTGGTTCACTTGGCTTGTGTAAAATAACTTGTGAACTTCCTAACTTTCAATTTTAGGGCTTTTGAGGACCTCTAGTTTGTCCAGAGCTGTTCCTTTGCTTATTATAAAGCAGGATACTGCAAGAATAAAAAAAATGTGATCGTCTTCGAAGAAAATTGAACATGTAATTGCAATTCAAAGTGCTTTGATTGTCAAATGTAATTTTGTGTTCAGCTTAATTTCAATCTTTGATCACAACTGGGGTTTTCCTGACTTCAGATGCCAAGACATTTTTGAACTGCCATTTACAAAGTGAATGCAGGAATCCTAGCATACAGCATAGCTATTCACTTGAATTTGTTTCTTCTCTGAATATATCAGAAGCTCTGTCTTGGGGCAATCAGAATTATCAGGACCAGACTGTGACAATGAACAAGACAGGGCCTCTCCCCTGAGGACTTCCTATTTCAGCTGGAATTCTGCTGGATCCTGTTTGTGTACATGGTGAATTAACCACATGCCATACATACTTGTACTCAGAAAACTAGGAAGACATTTTCTTCCTCCTGTCCATATAACTACCCCAAGAGAGGAAACTATAGGAACAGATGGCAAGAACAGATTAAGCAATAAAGGTCACATTTTAGCTTGTTAATATATTCAGAGTACAATTCCTTAAGATATCCTTAGCTCCATGTTCTCAGCTGACATAAAGGCTTTGATTTGTGTAGATCCTTTCTTTTGGAGGACTCAGAAACATTTTTCACAAGGATTTTAGGTAAGGGACAGAGAGGAAACAGTCAATGGAGCAGAGCTTCTGTTTTCCCTTGGAGAATAAAGTGTGGTCTTAAGCCTGTGGAAGTTACCAGATAAAAATCTCATACCAGAGGCCGAGTGTAGCCTGTGGATTGATCTCTGGTCTTTGTCCTGAGGGACTGACTGCTGAAGAGTTTAGCTCATCAGGCAACCATGGAATTTGAAGCCTTTCCTGCTTGAAATGCAACTGCTTATAAAAGCCAGCCATTTTTTTCAGCCCTGCCTTTTATTCTTGACTCTAAAACCTGAGTGTCTTTCTGGAGGCAAGTTGAGTTACATAGATCAAAAGACCTGTGCCTCACTTTTTTATATATAAATGGACATAATGATACTTGCTTCTTGGGAGAATAAGCAGAGGCAATCATGTACAGACTTGGTCCACTGTAAGCTAAAAATACCATTATGGTAGCTGCATTTGCTAATAGGAATAGTAATAACTATTACCCAAGTATTATTACTCAAGTATCACTTAAGCCTTGCACTACTACAAGTAACACTGTTTGTATCATCGTTACCCAAAGGAAATAAAGACAAAACAGTAGCGATTCATTTATAAAGGTATGCATCACAGAATTACTATAGTAGCAAAATGGGATGGGAAAACAAGATAATTTTTCCAGAATTCAGTTAAAAATCATACTGGAAATTAATATTTATGGACACAAAGAAATACAGCCCACAATAGATTATAAAACAAAAAAAGGCTAAAAATATATTGGTGCCATTAAGGATATAAATCTGCATACATAGAAATAGAACTCAGCTTTGGAAGGCAACATGCCAAGATTTTGAAAGTACTTTTCTTTGGGAGATGTTAAACAAGAAAAACAAATTTCTTAGTTGTTTGTTAAACTTTTTTTTTCTACAGTGAATATGTATTTTTTTTACACATGAGATCATTTTAGTTGGGAATTTTAGTTGGAATAGAACTCAGAGGCTGTTTATAGTCTATAGCTTGTATTTCCAAGGTTTCCTGCCTTGAGATGGAGTACACCATTTGGTTTTTGTCCCCTCTAACCTCCCACTATGCCTTCCTTGACTTCCAGATAAGGACCAACTACAGACATTACTTTCTTTCTTCAAAACCTCTCAAACTCATTTATGACGTGGTTACCTGGGCAGTCACTCAGCTGGCTGTATCATACACGGCCGCACCCTTTGTTATGTTGGCAGTCGAACCAACCATCAGTTTATACAAGTAAGTTTCCACTGTTGTCAGTTACTACCTGGGAAGGCAGTCGGTGTTCCATGTTCTACTTAGTAATCAATAAATTGAATCTATGTATGAAGATTGTATGTAGAATTCCTAAATGTGACTTCAAGTGGAGAAGAATCTATAGAAACTTTAAGAAGAAATGACTATCCCAGAGACACCAAATATGAATATTCATACCTTCAAAGAAAGTTGACAGGAATTCCATGACATTTAGGGGCACTCATGGCAGTGCATTCTGCCAGGATGGAGCTTGATAAGAGCCCTTGGCTCTTTTTTCCCAGAGATTAAGCTATGTTGGAAGCTGTGGGGATAGAAATGGCAGGGGTTGGGGTCTGTCAGCCTCTGGGATTGGCTGACTTGGGTAGTCATGGAATGGCTCTTGGGCCCTTTTCTGAGATAAGGTTCTGGTTGGGTGCACATGGGGATTTGTGTTTCAAGATGAACATGGGAAGGAAGGGGAAGAATGTGGAATAGAGGGTGGAGAGGGAGGCCCATACCAGAGACCAGAGTTCTTTACAGAAAAGATATGAGATCCTTCTATTTTGCACCAAATGAACTGCAAACATGAAACTGTTTCATGCTAATTGGTTGTTGCTTCATGCTAATTGGTTAGTTTCATGTTCATTGGTGGTAGTTTTACACTCACCCAGAGTGTGTGTTGGACCAGTGAGTGAGGCAGAGCAGTGTGGTAGTGTTCTTGATATGGGAACAGAATAGAATTCCCCATGATAGGAGGCTGTATCATGCAAAGAACACCAGAAAAAAGCATGAATGGGGACAGAACACAGAGCCTAGAGTGAGCAGTGGTGAGCTGAGGAGGGAGAGGGGTAAGCATCAGCACCTTTATTTGTCTTACGAGAAAGCGGAGTCTCAGGGAGGTTGAATATAACACCATTCACACAGCATCTAGCTGCTACACCTGAGTTTCAGACTTAAAGTTCCTTTAATGGCAAGATTAGTAATGCAGTTACTAAAAATTTCTTTGGGACAAGCTATTTTGGAAGCCAGTCACTGCTTGTAGATCAGACTAAGTGAAAATGTTTGTGATATCAGGCATTTAACTGACTAAAGCGTGTGTCAAGTCAGACACCAAGACAGCCATTCATTCAAGGGGTAGAATCCAGTTTCTTTCTTTCTTTTTTTTTTTTTTTGTCGGTTGTGGGGCTTGAACTCTGGGCCTCAGTGCTGTCCCTCAGCTCTTCAGCTCAAGGTTAGCACTCTACCACTTGGGCCACAGCATCACTTCTGGCTTTTTCTGCTTATGTGATACTGAGGAATTGAACCCAGGGCCTCATGCATGTGAGGCAAGCACTCTACCATTGAGCCACCTTCCCAGCCCCTAGAATCTAGTTTCTATCAAGCAGTTTTTCAGTTGTTTAAGAAAGACTCTAACAGATTTTTGAAAACATCTTTATTTAGAATAAAATATTTTTATCAATTTGTCCATTAGAGATTATCTAATGTAATGTTACCTGTCTCGTGCACGTGTATGAATACAGACATAGATGCATGCACACACGTGTTTCTTATAGACACACCTATACATAAGCATGTTCTATAACACACACATCCATATATGTATTATATAATACATACCTATAATCAATATACATGTGTACACATGCCTATACATATATGGATATATGCAGATGTGCACTATATAATGTGCATAATAGATATACATTATATATTGTAAATGTACTCACTTATTACATGCTAGATCTATAATATATAACTTAAATTCTGATCTTGATCAACTGTGTCCTGTAGAAGGTTCAGTGATAATGGGGATCCTCATCTATGCATTACATATATCAATCGTAGGTCAGCAGAACATAGGACATTAAACCTTTGATGTGTGGCTAGTGAAACCAAACAAATGAATTTTCAATTTCACTTATTTTAATGTTGAAAGGTATATGTTGTCTGTTTTTATTTTTTCAGTCATGGGGTTTGGACTCAGGGCCCAGGTATTGTCCCTGAGCCCTTTTGCTCAAAGCTATTGCTGTACCACTTTGAGCCACAGTGCCACTTCCAGTTTTCTGATGGTTAATTGGAGATAAGAGTCTCATGGACTTTCCTGCCCAGCCTGGCTTCAAACCGTGATCCTCAGATCACAGCTTCCCGAGTAGTTAGGATGACAGGCATGAGCCACCAGCGCCCAGCTGCCTGTGGCTTTTATAGATCTATTATACCAGAAAGAAAGAAAGAAAGAAAGAAAGAAAGAAAGAAAGAAAGAAAGAAAGAAAGAAAGAAAGAAAGAAAGGAATGTTTCAGAATCTCTTAAGGAAATCACTGAAACTGGTCAAAGAAACAAAAATTTCATGATGTAGTGAAGAGCAGTCTATATTCTTTTCAGATCTCTTCGCCTGGGCCTGACATACATACATTGCATTCAGCTGAGCCACAGCTATAGGCAAAGTCACTTCTCTTCCATTGCTTGCCATTTAAAGTTCAGATACACTTTATTTTTTAACTCTTGTCTATGTTTTTTGTTTTTGGCAATACTTGGATTTGAACCTAGGAACTCTCACTTGCTAGGCAACTGGTCTACCAGCTGGGTCATTCCCATAGTCCTCCTGTGTGTATTTGGGATTATAGGTGTCCATCACCAGGCCAGCCCTTTCAACACAGACTCTTGCTAAATTTTGCCTATACTAAATTTAACCACCAATCCTTACACAAACTGCCTCCCAAGTATCTGCGATTACAGGAGTGAGGCATTACTTCTAGCTTTTTAGTTTACTTTTAGTCTAGAGTGTCTTCTAATTTCAGCTTTAGAATTTTCAACTTTTTTCTTTAAATTTCCAGTGAACTCAAGTTTAATGAATACTTAAATGTGTGATGAAAGATGCCTTTTCTTAAATCATTTTGAAAGCAAAATCTTCACACACTCATGTATCTTTAAATAGATAATGCTGTCTTTAACTTCAGTGGGTAAGAATGTTAGAATTGGTATGTGAACTTTTGTGGACAGCACACTTCTTAACCACAGGAACTATACCTTATTTGCATCTGTTGAACCTTGGTCAAGGCCAAGCATGCTCAATATAGGTTTTATTAATAAAACCTTCCTCAGAATTTTATTTATTTATTTATTTTTGGTCGGTTGTGGGGCTTGAACTCTGGGCTTGGGCACTGTCCCTGCGCTCTTCAGCTCAAAGTGAGCACTCTACTACTTGAGCCACAGCACCACTTCCGGTTTTCTAGTGATTTATTGGAGACTAGAGTCTCACGGACTTTCCTGCCTGGACTGGCTTTAAACCGAGATCCTCAGATCTCAGCCTCCTGAGTAGCTAGAATTATGGGTATGAGCCACCAGCACCCGGCGTAGAATTTTAGAATAAGGTTGTCTGTATTTATTTTTTCAGTTATGGGGATTGAACTGTAACTGCTAACCTTCATTAGGGGATTGAAATTCATTTCACTGGATGATCAGATTATTTAATTTAACTCAACACAATTGCTCTTGTGTAGATTTAGTCACATAAGAAAGACAGGGATGGGCTGGGAAGGTGGCTCAGTGGTAGAGCGCTTGCCTTGCATGCATGAGGCCCTGGGTTCGATTCCTCAGCACCACATAAGCAGAAAAAATAAAAAAGCCAGAAGTGGCGCTGTGGCTCAACTGGTAGAGTGCTAGCCTTGAGCTGAACTGCTGAAGGACAATGCCCAGGCCCAGAGTTCAGGCCCCACGACCAGACCCCCCCCCCAAAAAAAAAGAAAGACAGGGTTGCTAGGTGCTGGTGGCTCACACCTGTAATCCTAGCTACTCAGAAGGCTGAGATCTGAGGATCGAGGTTCAAAACCAGCCCGGGCAGGAAAGGCCGTGAAACTCTTATCTCCAACAAACCACCAGAAACCCGGAAATGGTGCTGTGGGTCAAGTGATAGAGTGCTAGCCTTGAACTGAAATGCTGAGTGACACAGTGCTCAGGCCCAGAGTTCAAGCCCCACAACCAACAAAAAAAGAAAAAAGAAAAAAAAAGACAGGGTTAAACATAAGGACCACATATGTAGTCAGTGTGTTGATTTTGAAAGCTGTAATTAACTATGGCTAAAGTATCCTTTGAGAGTCTACTGTTGACCCAGCAGGTCTACCCAAAGAGCATTTTCTTTCTCAATAATGACCTTTAAACAGTGAATTAGATGGTTGATTACTATAGCTATTTATTCTGCTCCTAATGACCATGAATCCCATTCAAAGCACTTGGCGTTCCCGCATTCTTTATCTATGAAGGGAAAAACAGTTGTCTCTACTAAACCTATATAAAATTTTCTTATCATTATTCTCTAAGCAAAAAAGTACAAGGATTATTCATAGAGCATTTGCAGTGCCTTAGGTAAAGTGCTTGTAAAGTTTGCAGGAAAATGTGTCTAGATTGCACATACTGCACCATGTTTAATAAGGGATCTGAGTATCTGCGATTTTTTTCTCAGCAGAAAGCCTGGAACCAGTTCCACATGAACAAAACAGTGTTTGTCCTCTTTCCATTTTCCCAAGGAAAGGGAGAACAACTTAGGTCTTTTGTAGATCTCAGTTTAATGCTTTTTACTGTGCATTTTTTGTTTGTGTTTTTTATAAATTGCAGTTTGGGGAATTAGACCCAGGGTTTCATATATACCATTGAAGGACCCGTCATGGAGCTATTTCTCTAGCTTCATGCTTCATACATTTTAGCAGTAAACACTGAAGGAAAGAGTAAGTGAATGAAGATATATTAGTACTCTTGACTCTTTTGTCATCCTTAGAGAGTCTTTCTTGATAAAAGGTGGAGAATTTTAGCCCATAAGTGAATTGTTTAGTTCAAATATACTTAACCTTGCAATTATTGAAGCCAAGGAATGAAACAAATCAATTGTAATTCCTCTTTTAACATTATTTTTCTTTAATCTTAAGAAAGTGTTAGAGAAAATATAAACTCAACCTTTCCAGGTGCATCTACCACAGTTATGCTAACTGCCAGCTATTTTAATAACATATACTTATTGATCTGCTTTAACCAGCATGTTGGGGGCATGTACACTGCACTGAATAGTGTATTTTTGAAATCAAAACCAACCAATCTCCAAAGTCAAACTTGTTTCTTATTAGTTTGGATGAAAGTTTTGTTGCAAGGTTGTAGACAAAGGCTTCAAAAATCAGGATCCTTCTGATTCATATGTCACAGAGCAACTCCTTACACTTGAAAAAGGAACATATGGAAGAAACTGAGCTGGGTTTGGATTCAGAGGACAGTGTTCGGTTTGAATGTAGCCTTCTAAGTCCTAAGTTTTGAGTATTAGAGATTTCTGGCTTCCCTGGGGTTAATTCTGTTGGCCTGTTTATATGTCTTCGTGACCATACTGCATCTGTTTGCCTATGAGCTGATAGGATTAGTGTCTCAGCTTTGTGGTTCCATTAATCCCTGACCTGCTCACTTACCTAATGGAGTACAATCTGGAGGAGATCAAGGCAAGCCTGACATACAGACTTTCCCTACTGGAGATGTGCTCATATGATGTTCTCCATTTATTCCCTTCTTTCAAATGTAATTGGTGTTTGTTTGTTCTATCCCTAGGTCCATGTACTTTTACTTACACATTGTAAGTCTCCTGATATTACTTTTTCTGCCAATCAAACCACAAGCTCACACTCAAAAGCAACCCCAGAGTCTGAACTCTGTTCATAAGAAGAAAGCAGACTGATACATCTGAGAACAGCTAAAACAACAACAGCAACAAAAAACCAAAACAACATTGCAAGACATTGGAAAGATGAAATAGAAAAGCTTGAAGGTTCTTCAGTGACTTAGAGGCAATGTTTACATGCATCTTTTTTTTTTTAACTGCAGGGAGTATTTTTTATACAGTCTTTTTTTGTACAGCGAAATTAGCCCGATCTATGTGTCTTAATATGTTAACGGGATCTTCCAGTGATGGAGAAGTGTAGAGAATGTGCCGGAGCTTCTGAGACAGTCTCTTCTGGAATACTAGGTCTTTGCTTTTCTGATGTCATTGTCAGTTGAAATCTAGGTGATGGGAATCGGAATCTAGGCATTGGCCTGGGAAGTTAGGAGATGATTAGTGAGATTTATCATACATTTCTCTTCCTCTCTCCCTCTTTCCCTCTCTTCTTCCATTCCTCTCTCTCTCCCTACCTCCCTTCCTCCCCCCTCCCCCAACACCCTCTCACACCGTAGCTCAAGATGACATGGAACTCACTGTGTGGCCTAGGCCATCATTGACCTTGGCAATCCTCCTTCCTCAGCTCCTCAGCTTCCTCAGCATAAGCATGAATCTCCATGCCTGGTTGCCTGCCATGGATTTCTTAAGTAGAAGCATATCCAGGCATGCTTGTTCTTGGGAAGCTCTAAACCCTTTGACTGTGATATTATTGGTTTGTGAACCTAAGAGCTGTACCAGCTGAAGACCCTGGCTGAACAGGATCATGGAAGGAGATTTTTGGGGGTACTCAAAAGAATATGAGTGAAGAGGACCAACCATGAACATTTGAATGGACTAGCAGTGAGCCCTCAAAGAGGCTGCTTTCCCCTGCCCTCCCCACCCCATCCCCAGGAATGTATTCTTTCCATTTGTTTATTCTGAAATGAGCCACAGTGGGAAATCACAAACTCTCGGGTGTATATCTGCTAGGAGCCTGCTTCCCATTTTACCCATTTTCATCTGCTTGCCCAGGAGTGGCCCCAAAATGACACCCAAATATTCACACCATCAAAGGCAGTAACATACCTTTATAAAAAAACGTAATATATATATATTATCTTTAAGTAGTTGAACAAAGGAATTACCATTCATCAAATCAGTTTATAAATCCAATGCATTTTCATCAATGTCACCCCTTTTATCTCTTTCCTCCATCCAAAATACCTTTTGAAGAACTAATCTGTTTAAAAAGTAAAGTTCTGTAGCATTTTGGTAAGAAGAAACACGTTTCTCTTTCTTTCCCTCGATTTCTGGAGGTGTTAATGATCATGGCCATGATATACACATGGGCCTGATTTTCATTTTTCTAGCTTCATAACTGATTAAACCCAGCTTTATTTTAGATGAATCATCATATTATAAGGCAGAAACTAGAAGACAGTTTTCTATTCTATCTTTGTCATGAATGTACCACAGTTCCTTTTGGGAACTTCTATTGGATAATCTATATATGAAAAGAAAGTAGAATATTAAATCTTGTAGAAAATAATAATAATGATAATAATAATAAAATCTATGCTGCAATCATGTGCCTTCAATCAGATGATCTGAGTGGAGAAAATCTGTTCAAATCATATGGTAAAAAAAATAAATGGTTTGTTTCTATAGAAAGGAAATGTTACTGAATGGAAGAATTATTTTTGTTTATGTCGAGAGACTTTATATACATAGGTCTGTGTGCATGAGTGCACATGTGTGTGTGTGTGTATGTGTTTTAATAGATGTGTGCAAAGTTAAGGTTCTATTTGGTTAAAATTTGAGCATTACAGCCTGCTCAATTTTTACTATATATGCCAAGAACATGGATGATTTTAGTTTTGATAAGATTTATGATATTTATTTCCCACTTTCCAGGTAGGGTTTATTCCCTCTCTATAGAGGAGAGAACTGAGTGTTAGACATTTGCTAACATCCCTACCCCACAGAGTTAATGGTACAGCTGAGATTTGAATCTAGCAGTCTTATGAAGCTGGATTTATGTTTGGTTTTTCAATTTGATGTCTGACTGGTGTTTTCTGTTAGGGTAATGAAACTTGAAAGTGGTAAGTTTGTCATTTTGAAACACTTATTTAATCCTGGTGCTGAGGGAGAACATGGCCAAATCCCCCTCCATATCAGTGGGGTATTGGTTCCAGGACTCCTGTCCTTACAGAGGCCCAAGGATATGCTCAAGTTCCTTAAATACTGACATATTCTTTGTGTATAACGTGTGCATGTTCTCCTGTGTTCTTTAAATCACCTTGAGACTATTAATACCTAAATAGTAGTTATGGTATATTGTTTGGGGAATGATAAGGAAAAAATGTCAGTATATGTTCAATGAGACATCCTCCCATGATGTGTATTTCCAATTGGTGGAAGCAGAACCAGTGGAAGTCTGGGAGAAGCAGGTGGAAGCAGAAGTTGATGGGAAACTAGCTGCGGGCTTATGAAGCATAGGCCCGTCTGGAGCAGACCTCAAGTTCTTCCACATGGGGTATAAGTTAAGTAGTGTGTGTGGATTCAATGCCTAGGGCTCACTCCAATTTAACCTGAAAGTCTCTGGGGGAAGTTATGGAAGGGAGAGGAAATAAACATGTCTAAAACTCATCAGAGGAATCTATTTAAGATAGAAGACCAAGGGGGGGGGAAGCACGTTTTGCATCTATCCAATATCATCATTGGAATGAAGTATGTGGAGTAATCCATATTACAATGTAGGTTTTGAACTTGTAGGTATGATTTATGGCCAGATTTTTACTGTGTTTAGCATCTTCATTTCAGAGAGAACATTGGTAGTGAGAGATGACTGCTTCCCTGAAAAGTTTATATTGTGAGGCTTTCATAAGTGCTAAAAGGTGGACACATGGAACTAAGATTAGACCCTTTCTTCATGGGTACAATTACCATAGAACTATAAACAGAAGGTTGGGGCTGTTTTTATTACCATAGATTCCATGTTGTCCTAAGTACAATGTGCATTGAATAAAATAATGTGTAGGTGAGCTTTAATGGGAAGGAAACACATTTCCTGGTTGTTTATAGGTGGTACCCAGGACTGACAAGGCACATGTCATATCTTCTGGCAGCCTCTTGGCTGCACATTAAAACCATATAGGAAGCTTTAAGATTAATGATCAATGACTGGATCCACCAGGGATTGCATCCTTTTTTCTTCTTCTCTTGTCTCTGGCACTTGGCACTGTGCCTATCATGTAATGAAGATTTAGTAAGTGTTTGTTGAATGAATGAGGGATTGAGTGGATTAGTTTAATGCATCGTTGCTCTTGATGGTTTTGATGGAGTCACATTTACACTAGGAAACATTGTTTCTGCCTTTCAGAATTAGTTTTTGAAAGAAAGGCTTGTGTTTCTAGGGAATTCTGGGAGTATGTAATATAAAATAATTACTCTAGCAGCCAGTTTACATAACCCGAAATCCTTTGGTCTATCCATCCACTTATTTATCAAATGCAATGTCTGGCATGAGCCTGGCAATATGTTAGGCATTGTGAGCAAAAGATGCTGGATCTATTCTTGGCCTAGGTAACCTCACAGTGAGAATGGAAAGATGAGACCTGGAGCAGAAATACCTGCCCCAGAAGTCAGGAAGTGACTGTTGGCCTTACCTTTGCTTTCCCAGCAGTTTATACTGTGTTTATTCTGCTGTACTTATAGGTTATCTAGGATGACTCTATAACTGCTATCCAGCTCTGTGTCCAGGTGAAGTTAAGCTTGACCTTGTTCTGACCTTGATCATTGAGGACATAGTCAATGTAGGAACTGTCCAAAGAATTAGCTTGTTCTCACATGGCTGTCCAGATGTGCCATATTTATCACAGCATTATTCACAATAGCCAAGTGGTATAAGCCTAGGTATCCTACCAATCAATGGGTGAAGAAAATGTGATATATACATATATATATCCATATCCATATATATTCCTATAAATTCTTCTGTATAAATCTATGTGGTCTTACACAGGAGACCTAATCACACACACACACACACACACACACACACACACACACACACACACACACAGAGGGGAATATTCTTCAGCCATTAGGAAGAATGAAATGCCATTTGTAAGAAAATAGATGGAACAAGAGATCATCATATTATGAAATAGCCAAGCTCATAAAATTAAATATCTTTTCAACCATATATGGATTGTAGGTCTAAAATAATAATTTAAAAAAGGTGTCTGTGGCTTACATATTCTTAAGACCCCAGCTACTCAAATCCTACAAATCCTAGCTACTCGAGAGGCTAAGTTCTTAAGAATCTGGTTCAACGACATCGACGAAAGTCTGTGAGATTCTTATCTCCATTTAACCACCAAAAAGCCAGAAGTGGAGCTGTGGCTCAAGTGGTAGAGTGCTAGCCTTGAACATAAAAGCGCAGGAACAGTGCCCAGGCCCTGACATCAAGCCCCAGGACCACACACACACACACACACACACACACACACACGCATGCATGCATGCATGCACACACACACAGGCACAATAGGCACACAAATAGTGGGATCTGAGTGCAAAAATAACAGGGCTGAAAGGGATGGGTGGAGAACTGGAAAGAATTTGGTATAAGGGAAAGGATCAAAGGGACAAAGGGGCTTTCTGGGCATATATATAATAGAGGGTGTGAACTTGCTCAAAGTATACTGTATGTATATATAGGGAGTTTATACACAGAGCAGCCTATGCTATCAATGCATATAAATAAAAAAGAAAGAAGGAAAAAGTCATAGTAAGGTATGGAGCTGGGTGTGGCGGCACCTGTTTATAATCCCAACCATTCCAGACCTGGAGGTAGACAGACAGTAGTCCTTTAGACCAGTGGTCATCTTGGACAAAAACATACAACTTTATCTAAACAAGAGACTATAGCAAAAAAGGATTGGGTGTATGGCCCCAGTGGTTGAATGGAAGACCTTGAGTTCAACCCAGTACCCTCCAAACAAAGAGAAAATAAAAAGAGGCGTGTAATTGCTGGGCTGTGATATGTTTTCCTCTTAGCTAAGGAGACATGTTTTATTTTTATTTTTGCAGGAGTAGGGACTGAACTTAGGCTCAGTAAGTGCTCTGTCACAGTACCTTACCCATGATCCTCTAAAGATTAAGTAGGGACTGAACTCATGCTCAGTAAGTGCTCTGTCACAGTACCTTACCCATGATCCTCTAAAGATTAATTTAAGTATCGTTAGGCTATACTAGGTTCCAGTTCTGTTTGGCATTGAGAGGAGAAAGCAAAGACAATGGAGACAGAGAATGCAGGAGCTGGAGACTGGACTGAACTCATGCTCAGTAAGTACTCTGTCACAGTACCTTACCCATGATCCTCTAAAGATTAATTTAAGTATCGTTAGGCTATACTAGGTTCCAGTTCTGTTTGGCATTGAGAGGAGAGACAAGCAAAGACAATGGAGACAGAGAATGCAGGAGCTGGAGACTGGAACAGATATGGAGTGAGTAAGTCATCTGTGTGTATCTTAACATATACTGTCCTTTTGCAGGAGTGTGCTTACCATGTATTTGAACTTCTAAAGCACAGGGCCATCTCTTGCTAAGCAAGAGACCTTGGGATGCCCTCCCTCATGGATAAGTGGTAACAGATTCTGGAGTTTCATACCTCAGGAGTTATGCTCAGGAATCTACCTGTCTACCTGATTTTGATGCACAGCCAGGTTTGCAATCCTTTTTAAACTGGTGGAAACTGAGTCTTGGGGATCCTATTGTTCTAGCCTGAGACATCACTATTCTTTGTAGCAGAAAGGAGGTTGTTGAGTGGCACTTTCTCTTAATTAATTATGCTTGCTTTCTGTGAAAAACACCAAGCCTAGCTGCCTCCAGTTCTGGAGAAAAAGCAGTTCTAGAGGTTTCCTTATTTCCTTTATCTCCTCCCCCGCCTTTCTCCCCCCAGCCCACCTTCAAGTGCAGGGCCTGTACATGTACATCGAGGCTCAGTAGGCCTCCCATGCCCGGGCTTCACAGAGAGTCTGAACAGAACTTCAGATCCATCCAGTAGAGGCAGATACAGAGCATTTCCTAGAGAAAAATCTTTTCTGGATTCCCGTGGCCCTGGGGATACAATGCTCCCTTTTGTGCTTGGACAAAGAAAATTCACACAGATGGGCAGGCGCTTTTGACATTAAAATTTAGATAGTCTAAGCATTTTAGAGGCTACAATTGCCCATTCATTGTGAACCTTCTTTCTGTCTATTGTCTTTGCTTGAAGGCAAAATGACCTCTCAGCATTTTCAGCCACCATCGCAGGTTGCAAACTCTTCCTGTGTGCCTGGGTCTGCAAAAGCTACCAGATGCCAGTCACCAGTAACCTTTTCCCTCCAGTTCTCTAGGCAGTTGCCAGGGGCCTACTGGATAGCTCATCAGGCCACTGTTCTCCACATAAACTCCTGATGACTCCAGCTGACTGTGGCATGAAGCCATACCTTTCCCTTCCGCGCCCTTCACCAGCCCGGTTCTTACCCTCTATTCAGGCCTATGGTTACTCCCAATGTGAATATCTCTGTCTCCAGCAGCCAAGGCAGCTTGGGACTTACTTCTGTTGTCAGAAAATTAGGTAGGCACTTATTAACGCTAAGAAGG